AAATATAGATCTACACATCCAATAAGTTCAACAAATGACAAGTAGGATAAAGTTAAAGAGGTTCACACCTAGATACACTGTTATCAAACTGTCAAAGACAAAGAAACAATTCCAAAAGCAGCAAAAGAGAAGCAGTTCATCCGATATGAGGAACCCTCAATAAGAGTAACAGCTGATTTTTCATCAGAAACCAAGGAAGCCCAGAGGCAACCATAAGAGGACACATTCAAAGTGCTAAAAAGACTGTCAACCAAGAATTTAATATTCAGTACAATTATGCTTCAAAAACTAAGGTGATATGAAAGACAAAAGAAAACATAAATTGGACTTCCACAAAATGAAAAACTTTTGTGCAGCAAAGGACGTTATTAAGAAAGTAGGCCCGACGCAGTGGCTCATGCCTATAATCCCAAAACTCTGGGAGGCCAAGCTGGCCAGATCACCTGAGGTCAGGAGTTTGAGATCAGCCAGGCCAACATGGTGAAACCTCGTCTCTACTAAAAATACAAAAATTAGCCAGGCATGGTGGTGCACGCCTGTAGTCCCAGCTACTTGGGAGGCTGAGGCTGAAGCAGAAGAATCACTTGAACCTGGAATGTGGAGGTTGCAGCGAGCCGAGATCACGCCACTGCATTCCAGCCTGGGCGACAGAGTGAGACTCCATCTCAAAAAAAAAAAAAAGAAAGTGAAAAAAACAACCTACAGAATGGAAGAAAATATTTGCAAACCATGTATCTGATAAGTGTCTACTACCCAAAATATACAAAGAACATTTATAACTCAACAATAGAACCAATTTTTTTGTGTTTTTTGTTTGTTTTCTTGGAGACTGAGTCTCTCTGTATCCTTCAGGCTGGAGTACAGTGGTCAATCTTGTTTCGCTGCAACCTCTGCCTCCCTCAAGCGATTCTCCTGCCTCAGCTCCCGAGTTTATGGGCACACGCCACTACACCTGGCTAATTTCTTTCGTATTTTTAGTAGAGACGAGGTTTCACCATGTTGGCCAGGCTGGTCTCGAACTCCTGACCTCAGGTGATCCACCCACCTCAGCCTCCCAAAGTGCTGGGATTACAGGAGTGAGCCACCGCACCCGGCCTAAAACCAATTTTTTAAAACAGACAGAGGACTTGAATAGACATTTCTCCAAACAAAGTTACACAAATGGCCAATAAGTATATGAAAAGATGTTCAACGGTCGGACACAGTGGCTCACACCTGTAATCCCAGCACTGTGAGAGGCCGAGGCAGGTGGATCACCTGAGGTCAGGAGTTTGAGACCAGCCTGGCCAAAATGGCAAAACCTCATGTCTACTAAAAATACAAAAATTAGCAGGGTGTGGTGGCAGGCGCCTGTAATCCCAGCTATTCGGGAGGCTAAGGGAGGAGAATCGCTTGAACCCGGGAGGCTAAGGCAGGAGAATCGCTTGAACCTAGCACTTTGAGAGGCCCAGGCAGGCAGATCACCTGAGGTCAGGAGTTTGGGACGAGCCTGGCCAACATGACAAAACCCCATCTCTACTTAAAATGCAAAAATTAGCAGGGCATGGTGGCGGGTGCCTGTAATCCCAGCTACTCGGCGGCAGACTGAGACTCCGTCAAAAAAAAAAAAGAGGTTCAACATCATTAGCCTTCAGCAAAGTGTAAACTGAAACCACAATGAGACACCACTTGATAACATCAAGGATGGCTATTTTAGAAAGAAATAAAAACTTAAAATAACTGTTGGCAAAGATGTGGGGAAAGGGAACCCTGGTGCATTGCTGGTGGTAATGTAAAATGGCTCAACCACTATGGAAAACAGTTTGGCTGCTCCTCAAAATATTAAAGATTTACCATATGACTCTGCACTCCTACACAATACCCTCCTCCCAAAATTAAAAACAGGCACCCAAACATGTACATGAATTTATTGGTTTATTTTTTTGGAGACAGAGTCTCACTTTATCACCCAGGTTGAAGTAAAGTGGCACAATCTAAGCTCACTTCCAACCTCTGTCTCCCGGGTTCAAGTGATTCTCATGCCTCAGCCTCCTGAGTGCCTGCGACTACAGGCAAGTACCACCACACCTGGCTAACGTTTTGTATTTTTAGTAGAGACAGGGTTTCACCATGTTGCCCAGGCTGGTCTTCAACTCCGGAGCTCAGGCAAATCCGCCTGCCTGAACCAAGAATGTTTACAGTAGCATAATTCAAACAACCCAAAGTCCATCAATAGATAAATGGATTAACAAATTTAGGATATATACGTTCAATGGAATATTATTAAGTCATTAAAAATGAATGAAGTACTGATACAAGCTACAATGCCTTGAAGACATTATGCTAAGTAAAAGAAGCCAGACACAAAAGACCACAATGCATGATTCAATTTGTATGAAATTCCCAGAACAGAGAAGTACAGAAACAATAGCAGACAGGGGTTGGAGGAAGGAGCATATGGGGAGTAAGTGCTTTATGAGCACAGTGTTTTATTTGGGGGTGATGAAAATAACAACTAGATATATGTTGTCTACAAGAGACTCACTTTAGAACCAAATACACAAACAGGTTGAAAGCAAAAGGACAGAAAGATATTACATGTAAATAGTAACCAAAAGAGAGCTGTAGTAGGTATACTAATATTAGACAAAACAGATTTTATAACAGAAATTGTTACAAAAGACAAAAGATCATTAAATCCATCATGAAGATATAATAATTATAAACACATATACACCTAAAAACAAAACCAAGAGAAATGAAGGGAAACATAGACAGTTCAACATAATTGTCAGAGACTTCAATGATGGATAGAACTGGCCAGGCATGATGGCTCACGCCTGTAATCTCAGCACTTTGGGAGGCCAAAGTGGTCAGATCACTTGAGGTTAGGAGTTCAAGACTAGCATGGCCAATATGGTGAACCTCGTCTCTACTAAAAATACGAAAATTAAGCAGGTGTGGTGGCACGCACCTATTGTAATCCCAGCTACTAGGGAGGCTGAGGCAGAAGAATCACTTGAACCTGGGAGGCGGAGGTTGCAGTGAGCCAAGATCGCGCCACTGCACTCCAGCCTGGGTGACAGAGCAAGACCCTGTCTCAAAAAAATAAAATAATGGATAGAACTGCTAGATTAAAGATCAATAAACACAGGACTTGAGCAACACTATAAACCAGTTAGACATAACAGACAATCAATAGGACGCTGCATCCAACAATAGCATCTTCCCAAGTGCATATGGAACATTCTCCAGGATAGACCATGCTAGGATACAAAACAAGTCTCAAACATTTTAAAAAACTTAAGTCATACAAAATACATTCTCTGACCACAAGTGAATTAAAATTAGAAATCAGTAACAAAAAGAAATCTGAAAAATTCATAAACTTGGGGAAATTAAACACACTTTAAAACAACTAAGGACTCATAGAAATCACATGGAGGGCCAGGTGCAGTGGCTCACACCTATAATCCCAGCACTTTGGGAGGCTGAAGGGGGCAGATTGCCTGAGTCTAGCAGTTTGAGACCAGTCTGGGCAAAATGGCAAAACCCCATCTTTACTAAAAATACCAAAAAAAAAAAAGAAAAAAAGAGAAGAAAAAACATAGCCAGGCACAGTGGCATGCACTTGTAGTCCCAGCTACTCAGGAGGCTGAGGTGGGAGAGTCACTTAAGCCAGGGAGGTTGAGGCTTCAGTGTGCCAAGATCGCGCCATTGCACTCCAGCCTGGGCAACCAGAGGAAGACTCTGTCTCAAAAAATAAAAAAATAAAGAAATCGCAAAGAAAATTAGGAAATATTTTGAGACAAATAAAAATGAAAACACAGGCCAGGCACGGTGGCTCATGCCTGTAATCCCAGCACTTTGGGAGGCCGAGACGGGTGGATACAATGAGGTTAGGAGTTTGAGACCAGCGTGGCCAGCATGGTGAAGCCCCAGTCTCTACTAAAAAACAAAAAAATTAGCTGAGTGTGGTGGCACATGCCTGTGGTCCCAGCTACTCAGGAGGCTGAGGCACGAGAATCACTTGAACCTGGGAGGTAGAGGTTGCAGTGAGCCAAGATGGTGCCACTGCACTCCAGCCTGGGGGACAAGAGCGAGACTTCATCCCCCCCCAAAAAAAAAAAGAAAAAAGAAAACACAGCACCCCCCCCAAAAAAAAAACATGTTCTGTGCTCCCAGACCCCCCCCAAAAAAAAAATAAGGATACAATGAAAACACCCCCCCCAAAAAAAAAAAAAATTAGGCTGGGCATGGCCCCCCCCAAAAAAAAAACCAGTGCACTTTGGGAGGCCCCCCCCCAAAAAAAAAAAGGTCAGGAGTCCGGGACCCCCCCCCCAAAAAAAAAAAAATCCCATCTCTACGAAACCCCCCCCAAAAAAAAAAGTGTAGTGGCACGTGCCTGCCCCCCCCAAAAAAAAAAAGGCTGAGGCGGGAGAATTCCCCCCCCAAAAAAAAAAGGGGTTGCAATGAGCCGAGCCCCCCCCAAAAAAAAAAAGCCTGGGTGACAGAGTGACCCCCCCCAAAAAAAAAAAACAACAACAACAACAAAACCCCCCCCAAAAAAAAAAACACATATATATCTGTAAACCCCCCCCAAAAAAAAAAAAATCTCAAGTCAATAACCCCCCCCCCAAAAAAAAAAAAGGAATCAGAAAAAGAAACCCCCCCCAAAAAAAAAAAAACTAAACCCAAAACAAGCCCCCCCCAAAAAAAAAAAAATTAGAGGCCAGGCATGCCCCCCCCAAAAAAAAAACCCCAGCACTTCAGGAGGCCCCCCCCCAAAAAAAAAATGAGGTCAGGAGTTCAAGACCCCCCCCAAAAAAAAAATGAAACCCCATCTCTACAACCCCCCCCAAAAAAAAAAGGCGTGGTGGCAGCCACCTCCCCCCCCAAAAAAAAAAGAGGCTGAGGCGGGAGAATCCCCCCCCAAAAAAAAAAGGAGGTTGCAGTGAGGCGACCCCCCCCAAAAAAAAAACAGCCTAGGCAACAGAGCGCCCCCCCCAAAAAAAAAAAAAAAAAAATTAGAGCAATCCCCCCCCAAAAAAAAAATAGAAAAACGATGAAGAAACCCCCCCCAAAAAAAAAACTGTTCTTTGAAAACATCACCCCCCCCAAAAAAAAAAGGCTAGAATGACAAAGAAACCCCCCCCAAAAAAAAAATACTAAAATCAAGAATCAACCCCCCCCAAAAAAAAAAAACTTTACAGGAATAATAACCCCCCCCAAAAAAAAAAATAAACTACGATATACTAACCCCCCCCAAAAAAAAAATGAAACTGATCAATTCCTACCCCCCCCAAAAAAAAAAAAACTGATTCAAAATGGAACCCCCCCCAAAAAAAAAACTATAACCAAGAGTTTGAACCCCCCCCAAAAAAAAAACCACCAAAGAAAAGCCCAACCCCCCCCAAAAAAAAAAGTAAATCCTACTGAATGTTCCCCCCCCAAAAAAAAAAATCCTTCTCAAACTCTGCCCCCCCCCCAAAAAAAAAAAACACTTCCTACCTCATTCCCCCCCCCAAAAAAAAAACTTCTACCAAAGCCAGAACCCCCCCCCAAAAAAAAAATACAGACAAATTATCCACCCCCCCCCCAAAAAAAAAACCACTTAAAAAATACTCCCCCCCCCCCAAAAAAAAAATATTAAAAGAATATATACCCCCCCCCCAAAAAAAAAACACACCTGTAATCCCAGAACCCCCCCCAAAAAAAAAAGGCAGATCACTTGAGCCCACCCCCCCCAAAAAAAAAAGGCCAAAATAGCAACATCCCCCCCCCCAAAAAAAAAAAAAAATTAGCTGGATGTGGCCCCCCCCAAAAAAAAAACCAGTTACTCAGGAGGCTGCCCCCCCCAAAAAAAAAAAGTCCTGGAGGTAGAGGGTCCCCCCCCAAAAAAAAAAGCCACTGCACTCCAGCCTGCCCCCCCCAAAAAAAAAATGTCTCAAAAAAAGAGAGACCCCCCCCAAAAAAAAAAATACATCATGACCAAGTGGCCCCCCCCAAAAAAAAAAAAGGGTAGTTCAATATCTACCCCCCCCAAAAAAAAAAACACTATATAAAGAATAAACCCCCCCCAAAAAAAAAAATCAACGCAGAAAAAGCATCCCCCCCCAAAAAAAAAATCTTGATGCCATTCAACAACCCCCCCCAAAAAAAAAACTTCCTCAACCTGATCAAACCCCCCCCAAAAAAAAAACTCACAGATAACATCATATCCCCCCCCAAAAAAAAAAATGGTTTCTTCCTAAGATCCCCCCCCCAAAAAAAAAATCTACTGTCACCACTCCTACCCCCCCCAAAAAAAAAAGTTCTAGCTGTGGCAATTACCCCCCCCAAAAAAAAAAAAAGCACACCAATTGGAAACCCCCCCCAAAAAAAAAATTCATAGATATGTTGTTTTCCCCCCCCAAAAAAAAAAGAGACAGGGTCTTCCTCTGCCCCCCCCAAAAAAAAAAAGTCGTGTGATCTCAGCTCCCCCCCCCAAAAAAAAAACCGGTTAAAGTGATTCTTGCCCCCCCCAAAAAAAAAAAGCTGGGACGACAGGCGTGCCCCCCCCAAAAAAAAAAACTTTTGTCTTTTTATTAGCCCCCCCCAAAAAAAAAATTGCCCAGGATGGTCTCAACCCCCCCCAAAAAAAAAATCCACCCGCCTCCACCTCCCCCCCCCCAAAAAAAAAAGACAGGGTCTTGCTCTGTTCCCCCCCCAAAAAAAAAATGGTACAATCATAGCTCACCCCCCCCCAAAAAAAAAAGTTCAAGTGGTCTTCCTGTCCCCCCCCAAAAAAAAAATGGGTTTACAGGTGTGAGCCCCCCCCCAAAAAAAAAATGATCTTATATATAGAAAACCCCCCCCAAAAAAAAAACACACACACACACACACACCCCCCCCCAAAAAAAAAAATACATTCAGCAAGGTTGCCCCCCCCCAAAAAAAAAAACAAAAATCAGTTGTATTTCCCCCCCCAAAAAAAAAATAATTCAAAATGAAATTAACCCCCCCCAAAAAAAAAAAGCCAGGCGTGGTGGCTCACCCCCCCCAAAAAAAAAATCTGGGAGGCTGAGGCAGGCCCCCCCCAAAAAAAAAAGAGTTCGAGACCAGCCTGGCCCCCCCCAAAAAAAAAAATCACTACTAAAAATACAACCCCCCCCAAAAAAAAAAGGTGGGCACCTGTAATCCCCCCCCCCCAAAAAAAAAAGGTAGGAGAATTGCTTGAACCCCCCCCAAAAAAAAAACAGTGAGCTGAGATCGCGCCCCCCCCCAAAAAAAAAAGCAACAAGTGAAACTCCTCCCCCCCCCAAAAAAAAAAGAAAAAAGGAAAGAAAAAGCCCCCCCCAAAAAAAAAAATAGTATCCAGTAGAATAACCCCCCCCAAAAAAAAAATAACCTAAGAAATGCAGGACCCCCCCCAAAAAAAAAACAAAACATTGTTGAAAGAACCCCCCCCAAAAAAAAAATATACATGGAAGCAGCATGCCCCCCCCAAAAAAAAAATCTACTCATTGTTAAAATACCCCCCCCAAAAAAAAAACTGGGCACAGTGGCTCACGCCCCCCCCAAAAAAAAAATGAGAGGCCGAGGCAGGCGCCCCCCCCAAAAAAAAAAAGACCATCCTGGCTACCACCCCCCCCCAAAAAAAAAACTAAAAATAAAAAAAAAAACCCCCCCCAAAAAAAAAAGTGGTGGCCAGCGCCTGTACCCCCCCCAAAAAAAAAAGCTGAGGCAGGAGAATGGCCCCCCCCCAAAAAAAAAAGCTTACAGTGGGCCAAGATCCCCCCCCAAAAAAAAAATCTGGGTGACAGAGCAAGACCCCCCCCAAAAAAAAAAGAGTTATCGGATGTAGTTACCCCCCCCAAAAAAAAAAGACCAGGGAGATAATGAAACCCCCCCCAAAAAAAAAAAATCATATCCACACAATCTCCCCCCCCAAAAAAAAAATTCAAGGATAGCATACCAGCCCCCCCCAAAAAAAAAAGAAGAAAGTCTCAATGGACCCCCCCCCAAAAAAAAAATGAAGCCCAGAGATGCAACCCCCCCCCAAAAAAAAAACCCTATACACCGAGTTTGCCCCCCCCCAAAAAAAAAAGGTACACCTTATGAAACTACCCCCCCCAAAAAAAAAATTAATCAATTATGTATTAACCCCCCCCAAAAAAAAAAAGGTAAGGGGATCATCTTTCCCCCCCCAAAAAAAAAACTAGCAAAACAGCTGGAACCCCCCCCCAAAAAAAAAATTATCAAATTAATTCATAACCCCCCCCAAAAAAAAAATGGGAGGGTTCACATAGAACCCCCCCCAAAAAAAAAAATGGGATATACACAAGTAACCCCCCCCAAAAAAAAAAAACATGAGCAAAATTAGTGCCCCCCCCAAAAAAAAAAGGAGCTCTATATTTCCACACCCCCCCCAAAAAAAAAATCCTGGATACCCATCCCTGCCCCCCCCAAAAAAAAAAATTTAGTTCTCTATACCTCCCCCCCCCAAAAAAAAAACTACACTCTAGAAATGATGCCCCCCCCAAAAAAAAAAAAAATGGAGGAGGAAAAAACCCCCCCCAAAAAAAAAAGCATTTTACTAAGGAAAAACCCCCCCCAAAAAAAAAACTTGGAGCCTAGAGGGTTGCCCCCCCCAAAAAAAAAATCTTGGGTTCTTTCTCACTCCCCCCCCAAAAAAAAAATATTTCATATGCCCGTAGTCCCCCCCCAAAAAAAAAAGAGGCAGAAGGATGGCCTGCCCCCCCCAAAAAAAAAACAACCTGAACAACAAAGTGCCCCCCCCAAAAAAAAAAAGTAAACTTTAAAAAAACACCCCCCCCAAAAAAAAAAAAATACTTCCATGCAACATCCCCCCCCAAAAAAAAAATCATTTCATCAACAAATCCCCCCCCCCAAAAAAAAAAACACAGACCCCATGCACTCCCCCCCCCAAAAAAAAAAACTCCGGAAATTCTGTAGTCCCCCCCCAAAAAAAAAAAGAACATATACTCTCCAATCCCCCCCCAAAAAAAAAAACCCCATCCCATTATCCGTCCCCCCCCAAAAAAAAAAACATCTCAAGCACCCTATCCCCCCCCCAAAAAAAAAAATTCAAGAGGGCATTCTGACCCCCCCCAAAAAAAAAACTACCCCATCCCATATTCCCCCCCCCCAAAAAAAAAATTCACAAACAGCTCTTACTCCCCCCCCAAAAAAAAAAGGCAAGGCGGAACAGGACTCCCCCCCCAAAAAAAAAACTGCGCAGGCTCGCCTGCACCCCCCCCAAAAAAAAAAGCCCCCTTCGCTCCACAAGCCCCCCCCAAAAAAAAAATCCACCGACACCCAGAGCCCCCCCCCCAAAAAAAAAACTGACTCTCCATCCCGCCCCCCCCCCCAAAAAAAAAACTCCGGGAGTGCAGGGGGCCCCCCCCCAAAAAAAAAAGAAATGCCACCTCTTGCCCCCCCCCCCAAAAAAAAAACGGTTGTCCGGCTCCCACACCCCCCCCAAAAAAAAAAACCCATCCTCCGAAGCCCACCCCCCCCAAAAAAAAAATCAGCTTCGCTGTCGGCGTCCCCCCCCAAAAAAAAAACCATACCCGCCATTGTCGCCCCCCCCCAAAAAAAAAACGGCTAGGGGCAGCTCCCGCCCCCCCCAAAAAAAAAAGAACCACCGAAACACGACACCCCCCCCAAAAAAAAAAGAAGACACTCTTCCTTCTGCCCCCCCCAAAAAAAAAACCCAGTGAACCTAGCCTCTCCCCCCCCAAAAAAAAAAACAAGCCAGGCCATTTCGTCCCCCCCCAAAAAAAAAAAGGATTCTTACCGGGGGCGCCCCCCCCAAAAAAAAAATGTGGGTGCGGGTGCGGATCCCCCCCCAAAAAAAAAAGGCTCCCTGGGGAAGGGCCCCCCCCCCAAAAAAAAAAATCGCGAGTCAGGCCTGAACCCCCCCCAAAAAAAAAAAGCAGCTATTCTCCAGTTGCCCCCCCCAAAAAAAAAACACCCTCTTAAAAATTGTTCCCCCCCCAAAAAAAAAATTGTTTACGTGGGGTACAGCCCCCCCCAAAAAAAAAATTCTTACTAATACGGCAATCCCCCCCCAAAAAAAAAAATTTAAAAATAATATCCATCCCCCCCCAAAAAAAAAATAAGCTTTAAATGACCATTCCCCCCCCAAAAAAAAAAGGCTCACGCCTGTAATCCCCCCCCCCCAAAAAAAAAAGGCGGGCGGATTGCCTGAGCCCCCCCCAAAAAAAAAAGCCTGGGCAACACAGTGAACCCCCCCCAAAAAAAAAATACAAAAAATTAGCCGGGTCCCCCCCCAAAAAAAAAAAGTCCCAGCTACTCGGGAGCCCCCCCCAAAAAAAAAACTTGAACCCGGACGGTGGACCCCCCCCAAAAAAAAAATCGTGCCACTGCATTCCAGCCCCCCCCAAAAAAAAAAACTCCATCTCAAAAAATAACCCCCCCCAAAAAAAAAATTATTTTCTAAAAAATATTCCCCCCCCAAAAAAAAAATCACGCCTGTAATCCCAGCCCCCCCCCAAAAAAAAAAGGGCAGATCATCAGAGGTCCCCCCC